CCATGGTCAGAAAAACCTAAAAAAATCTCAGGGTCAAATGGTGATGGGAAAGCTTGTTAACGTCTTGGAGGTCCTACGGGTGGTGTGTGACATAGAGCGTTGAATGTCTTCCGGAGATCACACGTGGTTGTGTGATGTTGAAGAGTTTGGTCCGATGTGTGACGGAGAGACTGTTAGGTTTAGTCCCACATCGGTAATTGTTGGTGGGGAGCGAAAATCACACGTGGTTGTGTGATGTTGAAGAGTTGGGTCTGATGTGTGACGAGGGAGACTGTTAGGTTTAGTCCCACATCGATAATTGATGGTGGGGAGCACAACATATAAGGCGGGAACAATCCTCACCTATCATACTAGTCTTTTGGGTTGAGTTAGGCCCAAAGCCTTGGTATGTTGTGGGCTTTGGGGGACCTGAGCCTGAGGGGCACTGGCTCGTGGGTATAGCGAGCTAGGCTAGATTCAGCTGCGCACTCTAACAATAGCCACTATGGAGTTTCTCCACATAAGGGGGGGCACCAACACGATGCTGCTCCACACGAAAAATAGAGGGTCCCTACCTCAAACGCCACCATGCCTTCACCGGAACATCAGAAACACCACAAGTGCTCTGGATGGACAAGATACAAGGGTAAATTGTCCTGTCACTCAAAATACAAGGGTAACATTGTCCTATCACTCAAAGCTAGCTCTCAAACTCTAAGGCCTAATTCTCACAAGGATGCTCCATAGTGTCTATATACTAGGCTTGGATGTGATCTTGAATGTCTTGAGAGGGTGGATGGAGTGTACAAACACTTCCTCTAACTTGTGACAACCTTGGGGCACTCCAGCACACTCAAAAAAGTTAGGAAACTTCATATATATAGCCACATCCCCCTCAACTAGCCATTGGAAAAATTAGACAAAAAAACTATGAGCACCAGACGATCTGGCGCCTTCAAAAGATACACAGCCAGACCATCCAGTGCTACTAGCTTTGAACTAGCCATTAGCTTATTCCAAGCATCGGATGATACACTGATTGTGTTTTATTCTATTGCCAAGTTGTCCAGTGAGGCGTTGAGTGTAAACTCGCTTTGGCCACTTTATTGATCATCAACGGATGAAACATTGCTGCTAATTTTTCCTTCACTGGATCATCGATGCCCTTTGTCAAATTGAGCTACACTACACAGTGACCAAGTCACTAGTCCACTCTAGATGATCTACCGCCTTTCTACCGTCACATCATATCATCTGGTGCTTGTTTTGTCCAGGAATATTTCTTGGGCACTTATGTTCAATAATCGTCTAACGTTCTTCTTTTTCTTAGAGCTGGATCATCTAGTGCTTGCAAACTTCTCCGTGCTTGCTTCTTTTGATTTGCTTTCTTCTCTAGTCTTAATGCCACTTCTTTTCTTTCATCATTAGGACGTATTATAACCTATCGAACACACCTTTAGCACACATGTCTATCCTAGGCTTGCGTTGATATATAAATCACTAGAACTAAAAGATATGAGCATGGGCACATGATCCTTACAAGCAATGGCAGGGAGCTCCTTGCCTCTACTAGTACTCTATATATGACTGGCGCGCCTGCACATCCAACCTGCTTCCCTGCTACCTGGTCACAAAAGTGGAGAAAGAAAAGAAAGGGGAGGGAAGAACAAAGGGGACAAAAATGACATTTCACCACTGTTCTCTCTCCTTAGGAGCAAGAAATTAATATTTTATTTGGTGCGGTGTCCATGAGCAAATTTGATAACAACCAAAGTGTCTACAAACAAACTGCTCCATTTTCGGTGTCCAATAGCAAAGAGAGGTCACTTTCAGTGTCCCATAGAAAATTTTGTCATATAACTACCATAAGATTATTGAGTACTAAATAGGAAATACAAGAGAAAAACTCAGCAGAAGCCACATTTCAATAAAAGCATGCAATGGTGCAATTAAGTTGCACCAATTCACATGGCATGAATGAGCCACCCCAAGTACCATGGTGCGACTTGGCTCTGTAAATCCGTTGTGGTGACGCTTGTCCTTCTTCTTCCTCCCCTCCCACTTCTCTAATTTGATCTCTAGCCACCCACCCATGGCTCTACCCCAGAGGTTCCATCCATAGATATGCCCATTCCTTCATTGATTTGAGCAACCAAGACGTGGAAAATGTTGCTAGAAGGTATCTCCTTATCATTGGATTGATTTGATTCACTTGCATGAATGTGCTAGGATTTGGGGGTGGTTAGGGTTATGTGCTATGGGTGTTCGTATGTATGTGACTAGATCAGATAGATTGAAGGTACCACACTTTTTAGCTTATGTATAGTTCCTTTTTTTTCTTATGTACGCATTTAGTTGCATGCTTTAGATCCACGGAGGAGCCAAAAGTCAAAGCCCATTTAGGAGGAGCAGAATCACGCCAAACCGTCCCTAAGTACATAGTGAAGGGATCTCAAGTGAATTGTCTGGAGGTTGTAGTTGATGGTAAGCCAAGGGTTTGGAAGCCCTAGTTTGGTTTTGGTAATTGAGTGACAACTAACGGACCTATGCATGCTTAAGTGTTGTATAAGCTAGGTTATGTCCACACCCAAGAGTTGAGAAAGTAGGCTACCATGGAGATGAGGTGATGTCCAAGTTGATTTAGTGCTCAACATTGAAAGAAAGAAGAAGAAAGGAAATGGAAGCAAGTCCAAAGGAAAAGGTATAAGGTAGGGGTTTCCATTTTAGCAGTCGAGGTGCAATAGAGTCCATGGTCAGATTTAGGATAGATATCATTCTATTAAGAGAAACTCTAATGTGACTGTGATTATCTAGTGTCACTAGGTGTTGTCTAACTTTGCATATGCATGAGACCTAGTGACATGATGAGGAAGCAAGTAAAAATGCTTTGAAAAATGTTTTTTGAAAAGTTAAGTCAGTGTCTAAGGTGATGGTGTTCTATTTGCTAATTGCGCACCAAGAATAGGCTAAGGTCTAACCCTATGAGTAAACTGACTTAATCTGCCCTTAGGGGAGTTATTGGATTTATCCGGTGACTCAACTATCCTTTGGTGGGACGCGATACATGGTGTGCGTGGGAGATTTTGAAGCGATGCACGCTTTCTCCGGTGGCGGGCACCGGACTTTTTGTGTGACCCCTGGAGCTCTCGGTGGATGAACAAGAAGGTTTTGGGCCCCAACAAAGAAGGTCTTCACTGGGAGTCCTTTGGAGAAATGGGGTTTGACCTTTGAAGTTCCAACGGTTGATCCGACATCGTTGTCAAAGGTGTCGAGGAGCCACCGGGATCTCCCGATGGTGATCCCTCTTCAAGCAAGAGAAAAGGGTTGGCATAGTTAGGTGAAGATCAAATCTAGACCGTTGATCTTCACTAATGCTTTGTCTGTGGGGTTCCCGTAGAAATTGCTTTGAGAGCCCAACATGACTAGTTCTAGAGAGGGCTTATCACTTATGAGTAGAGGGGAGTTTGACCATTTTACCTGTCTTGGCACACTTGGTTGATACTCTTGCATACATAGAGCTCAAGAAACTCACTCCGCTCACTTGTTGAAAAGGATCTGGCAAGCCTAGAGGGAGTGAATAGGCCTGTTAAAATAAAACTCGATTGCTGCTGTTAGTATGTAACGGTGCGACACAGTCGTAGTTTCACGCAGCACTGGGTGTAGCTTGTCGGAGCAGCTCGTGTACACAATTCAAAATCTGTGCAATGGAAAGTAGATCGAGTAAATTACTGATGTTCCTGAGGTAGTGTAGAGCCTATTTCACCACTTGAACAAGATCAGAAGATAAGGCACAAGTACATCCGGAGGAAACCCTAATTCACCAACACAAACTAGTAAAGGGCACAACATAATAGCACGAATACAAGAAACAAATGATTTATCCCGTGGTTCAGCTTACCACTAAAGCTTGCCTACCTCCACGTTATTAAAGAAGCCACCAAGACTTGGGTTTCGCAAGCCCTATCCTCTTCTCAAGTCAAGAGCACAAGTCTCTAGATTTGAGAGTTCTTACTAGATGTAGGGTGATTACAAACATCCCGGAGCACCCACAAGAGTTGGGAGCTTTAATGGGCGACACCTAGCCGGCTATGATCTCTTGCTCCAAGAATAATGAACACTATCCACTGGCTTAGAACGCAAACTTAGTGCTATAGGAGTTGAAGTTTAGGTTGGCAAGCTCTCTAATGGAGTTCGGAGGCTCAATCTCTCAAAGAATCTTAAGGGAATCAGAACCTTAAGGGAATCAAAGGGGAGAGCTCATGCTTTCCAAAAAAAAAGGAGAGCTTGGGGCCTTCGATGGAGTTGGAGAGGCTTGTCTGGTTGCTGGTGAGAGAATGCTCGAGATAGCCATTGGTGAGGAAAAAGAAAGGGTACAAACCCCCCCCCACCTTTCCCAACCGATTGTTAAGTCGCGGCAGTGCTGCGCCCGTCAAAACAGTAAAGGAGTAAGATTTATGTATGGGCTGGCTTGGCTTGGTTTGAAGATTTTGTATGGTGGCTATTTTTAAAACTTGTGCATTAGATCTCGTTCGTAGCTCCCAACACACACGGTCTCGAAGCCGGCGGGCGGTGGCCAGCCGTGCGCCCGTGCCAGATGAGGTCGCCATCAGGGTGGCAAGGCAGGTCAGAACTAGTTGGGCCGGCAGCAGAATAGTAGTTAGCTGCCGTCAGACGAGAAGTGTCTCGATTAGAGAAAGTACTCTGTAAGTCTGTATCACTCCATTCAGTTGAAGTTGCTATTGTTTAATCAATGCTACTAACAAACTAACATATCCAGACAGTAGACACCAGACTCGAGGCCATAGAGCCGTAGAGGCAGCATTGGTGCAAGAGGTGACCTGAACCTCCACGCTGTGCTATTATAAAGCCTCGATGCCTCCACTGTGCTTGTCCACTTCCCTCAGGTTCGGCCACAGCCCACGATTCCATTACAGAGGACTCTCCGCCCGCACGGCCGCACCACGTGAACCAGTAGTCCAGTACAACGCCACACACTCGCCACAAGGATCCAGGAGGCCGCCATGGGCGCGGGCAACAAGCGGGGACACCCTCTCCTGAGGGGAGGAGGCGTGAAGAGGGAGCGGTACACCCACGGGTTCTCGGCGTCCCAGATGGCCGCGCTCACCGCCATCTGCGGCGCTCTGGTGCCGTCCCTGCCGCCGGACCGCCGGAACGGTCACCAGCAGCAGGAGGACGGCGGCCGCGGCGGGGGAGACGGCGGCAACAAGGTCGTGGAGGTTCCTCCTCGCCTCGGCCGCCGACCCGCCCGTGCCCGGCGAGGTGGCCGAGCGGATGTCGCGCAAGTGTCCCCCCGAGGCGCTGGCGCTGGTGCGCACGGTGCTGTGGCTGCTGGGCACGCGGCTCGGCTCGCTGGCGCTGTGCGGGGCCCGGTGCCTGTCGTGGCGGTTCCCGTTCGTGCGCCGGTTCGACGAGCTGCCCCTGGAGCAGCGGGAGGCCTTGCTCCGGCGGTGGAGCCGGCAGACCCTGCTCCCGCCGCTGCGCATGTTCTTCCTCATCACCAAGGCCTTCTGCCTCCACGTCTTCTACTCCTGGGTAAGCCTGCAGCTTCCAATCATTCTAGTGGTCCGCCGGCGCCGCGGTAGAAACACAGTGGCTTCCAATCACAAATTGGAAAGGAACATGTTATAATTGTCTGAAGATCGCTATTAGTGAACGCAAGCAAGAATTGTAAGATCAATGATGATATCAACTGATCAACGAACCCTGACAAGGACGCGTCACGCATAGCTTCATGTTCCATGTTGTTTTTTCCTCTTGTTTTTTTTTTGTCTGAATCCTTTATGCTCCATGTTGTGTGTGTACTTGCCATGCAGACCGATGAAAACTCAAAGAATCCGCACTGGCGCGCGATCGGGTACAGCCCGCCCCTGGCAGACGACCAGCCGGCGCCGGCGGAATCAGAGCGTCCCGAGAAGCGTCCCCTCGACGACGGCGTCGTAGAGACGACCAAGGAGACCGACGCATCCCTGCCGGCGTTGCTAGCGGCGAAGGGCCTCACGGTGGCCGATGACTCGGCGCAGAACGTGTGCCGGGTCGAGTGCGACGTTGTCATCGTCGGTTCCGGCTGCGGCGGGGGAGTGGCGGCAGCGGTGCTCGCGGGGGCGGGGCACAAGGTGGTCGTCATGGAGAAAGGAAACTACTTCACGGCGCGGGATTACACGGCCATCGAGGCGCCGTCGATAGAGCAGCTCTACGAGGGCGGAGGGTCCATCAGCACGCTCAACGGCAGCGCGGTACTCCTGGCAGGCTCGACGGTCGGCGGCGGCACGGCGGTGAACTGGTCAGCTTGCATCAAGACCCCCGACGACGTTCGCGAGGAGTGGGCGCGCGACCAGGGCTCCTGTTGTTCGCCACCGACGAGTACGCCGCCGCCATGGACAAGGTGTTCGAGCGGCTCGGCGTGACGGCTGGGTGCGCGGAGGAGGGCTCCAGAACAAGGTCCTCCGCAAAGGGTGCGAGAAGCTCGGGTACAAGGTGGAGTCGGTGTCGAGGAACTCGTCGGAGGGGCACTACTGCGGCAGCTGCGGTTACGGCTGCCACACCGGCGACAAGCGCGGCACGGACCGTACGTGGCTGGTCGACGCGGTGAGCTGCGGCGCGGTGATCCTGACGGGGTGCAAGGCCGAGAAGCTGGTGCTGGAGCCTACGGTCGCTGGTCGTGCGGACGGCAGGGCGAAGCGATGCGTCGGCGTGGTGGCGAGGAGCACCAACCCGGCGATCACGAGGACGCTGGAGGTGCGCGCCAGGGCGACCGTCTCGGCGTGCGGGTCGCTCCTGACGCCGGTGCTGCTGCGCGGAGCGGGCTCAGCAACCGGCACATCGGCAACAACCTCCACCTGCACCCGACGTCCCTGGTGTGGGGCTACTTCCCGGACACCATGCCGGACCTCAAGGGCAAGATGTACGAGGGCGGCATCATCACGTCCCTGCATAAGGTGGAAGGCGCTCCGGGCGCGCCGGCACGCGCCATCCTCGAGACGCCTGCGATGGGCCCGGCCGGTGCGGGGACGCAATTCCCTGGGTGTCCGGGAGCGACATGAAGGAGCGGATGCTCAGGTACAGCCGCACGGTGCACCTCTTCTCCCTGGTGAGGGACCGCGGTTGCGGCATCGTGCACGGCGAGCGGCGGGTGGAGTACCACCTGGACGCCACGGACGGGCAGAACATGCGCGAGGGCCTGCGCCGCGCGCTGCGCATCCTGGCGGCGGCGGGCGCCGCGGAGATCGGCACCCACCGCAGCGACGGGCAGCGGTTCGCGTGCAGGGGCGCCACGGAGGCGGCGCTGGAGGAGTTCCTGGACGGCGTGGACGTGGTGCGCGGGCCCCAGTCGAAGGCCGAGGCGTGGAGCCTGTGCTGCACGGCGCACCAGATGGGCAGCTGCCGGATGGGCGCCACGGCCCGGGACGGCGCCGTGGACGCGCGCGGCGAGAGCTGGGAGGCCGAGAGCCTGTACGTGTGCGACGGCAGCGCCCTGCCCAGCGCCGTGGGCGTCAACCCCATGGTCACCATCCAGTCCGTCGCCTACTGCCTCGCCACGGGCATCGCCGAGTCGCTCAGGCGCGGCACGGTTCCTGAAAAAGATCTAGTGATACCGCCCTCGTGTCACGCACGATCTCCGTATTATGCTCGTGGAATTGCTGCAGAATAGCTCTACAGTGATTCACTATTCGTGTGGTGGATAATAAGCAGAAGAAATGGAAATGAAACAGATTTATCTCTTTGAGTTTTGCTCGGTGGTCCTCTTTACTTGTCATATTTTTATAATATACCTATATATTATTATAGATCTGTGTAAATCTCTCTATAATTTTGATCAAATTTAAGATGTTTTGATTTTTCAATAAAATTGGAATGACTTAGACCATGTTTAGATAAGTTTCGGATTCTTAAAAACTAGTTTTGGCTTCTAGTTTCTAAAATATAGATTCTGAGTAAAAACTGGCATGGGTGTTTGATCCCTAAGTTTTTAAAAATCTGACTTCATTTATTTCTCTATGCGTCACAATAAACTGGCAAAAGCTGGATATCAACAACTTCCTGATTTTTAAGAATCTGGCAAAGACTGGCAGTAAAAACTAGTCAGTTTAGATCCAACCTAGTTTCCAAAAGCCATATTTTTAAAAACTGACAAAAACCGGAGAAACCCAAACAAGAATTTATAATTTAAAATAGAAGGAGTAGCTAGTTTTAATGTTCATAATTTGTCTAGAATATACTACTAGTTATTTATGGGCCAAGAATGCTATGAGCATTGTAACACGTTTACTGAGATACTCCGTCCTTAAATAGAAGATGTTATACTCCCTCCGTCCCAAAAAGAAAGACGTTATTTGATACATGCATGTCAAATTTTCTTAACTTTAACTAGGTTTATAAAAAATACGTGTAATATTTATATCTACAAATAATTTTATTATGAAAGTATATTCAACGATCTATCTAATGATAATAATTATGTATTATAAATATTAATATTCTCTTATATATAGTTGATCAAAGTTTAAAAAAATTGACTTCTCGATAAATGAGAACACATTCTATTTTGGAATAGAGTGAGTAGGATTCAAACTTTGTCTCAAAATACTTGACACTTTTATTTTTCAATGCACATTTCTCTTCCTCCAATATACCTTTTTTCTAATATATCTCTATCTCTCTCCATCTTGTTTTCTATGCACAACATCTTTCTACATCTCCTTTAATTCTCGTGTCCAAACCTAAAATGTCCTCTGTTTGAAACGTAGGGAGTATATATTAACACAAGCTCTCGTGATAGTTAGGCTGTGTTTAATTCGTGAAATTTGGGAATTTGGATACTGTAGCACTTTCGTTTTTATTTGGCAATTAGTGTTCAATCATAGACTAATTAGGCTCAAAACGTTCATTTCGTGATTTCTAATCAAACTGTGCAATTAGTTTTTTTTTCGTCTACATTTAATGCTCTATATACGTATCGTAAAATTCAATATCTACAGTATTTTTTGGGAAACTTTTTATAACTAAACACAGCCTTACGGCATCGCAACTGCATGCGTACCTTTGCCTGCACGCGATCTGGAAAGCAGAAGCAGATCAGGAATGCGCATGCAACTTGCACTTGCAGTTGTCTGTAACAATATAAAATTTAGTCGCAAGTCCAATGGCACCAGGCACGCTATCAGTTTATTTATTAGTGCCACGATACTGTTGCCAGACAGGCAGATTCTCGTCGGCCTAAACAATCGTGGATTATTTATTGCTGACTGATTTAGTGTGAGAGAAAAATATTGTTTTCAACTGAAAATTTACGATCATTTACGAGCAAACGAACAGGCTGATGACGTCCTCGCTGCTGGCAAGCAGATACATACAATATACTAGTACTCCGTATACGCACGAAGGGACAAGCCAACAAAGCTGCGGCTTGCAAAGGCACGTACTCGCTGGCCCCTCGTGTTGGATTTAATTGGAATTGACTAATTATATTTAGTAATTAAATCAAAGGAAATTTCAAGGCTAGAATTAATGCTAAGTGAAACTCACGATGTGTTATAGCCATTAGTGGAATGTTTTAAGGTGGGCTGGTGAGTTACTAGTAACGGACAATTGATATGTTAGTTACTAGTAACAAATGTGGTTTTCATGTCATTATCAACCAGGTTGATTAGATGGTAGTTACTAACGAACAATTCATTTGTCAGTTACCGGTAACATACACGGTGTTCATGACCATTATCAACCACAACACCTGTCTCTTCGTGTCCCTAGAAGGCTACATAAGGCGGCGTTTTCTTCTTGTCCACGAGCGCATGACACACAACCATGTCTCACCAATTCACTATTGAGTTGCTCTCTGTCATCCCCGTCCTGGTTTCTACGCGCACGGCAATAGGGAGAACAGGCCTTCGAAACTGGCGCCGTTCGTGAGTTCATCTGCTCGGGTGAAGACCAACCATCAGGTTTTTGGGGAGCGACTACGCAACTGCTCGATCGTTCGACAAATCGTTCATCTTCTTCCCGGCATTCATGGCGGCGGCGAGAGATCGGCACTGCAACCACTCTACACTGCATCGAGCTGGACGACTACTACAACAGGCGCTATGTCGACTAGCGCAATCGGCTCTGTGCCACTAGGTACGTTCTAATTCATCCCTTATCTTCAGCGGTTAAAATCATGATTATCAGTACCATCTATATGTTCTTGTCACTTAGATCACATGTGCACATATATGAGGCCACAAACTTGTTCTTAACCTTTTTCTGCATTAAATTAATACTGAAATTGCCTAAATTTCTAACAATCCAAAAATCTGATAGGCATTTTTTGGTAGCCGGCTTTGCACATGTACTAAAACTAAATGTTTTTGAGGGCACACATTACAAGAGGTGGCGTTAGAGATGCATATTGTGGTTGGCCGCTATGTATTTCTATTTTGTTGCCAAACCTAGATCAGCTGGACCGTATACTCCTGAGGAGAAGCATGCGTTTCAAGATGCTGATATTACGTTCAAGGGGGCAATAACCAGCGTGCTAGCGGACTCCATAGTAGATGCATATATGTGACTCTGCATACTGGTAAAGAGATGTGGGGGTGCACTTGAGGCCAAATATGGAGTGTCTGTCGCCGGTAGTGAGTTGTATGTCATGGATCAATTTCATGACTACAGAATGGTTGATGACCATTCTGTAGTAGAACAAGCTTATAAGATACAAACACTGGCAAAAGAGCTCGAGAATTTTGGTTGTGTGCTGCTGAGGAAGTTTGTGGCAAGCTCCTTTATTGCTAAGCTGTCACAAACTTGGACCAACTTTGCTACTTCTCTGAAACATAAGAGACTAGAGTTTGGTATTGCCAACCTCATTGGCTCTTTGGATGTTGAAGAGAAGGCGAGAGCAAAGGACGTCCGCTGCAAGAAAATTGTTGAGGGAAATTCTAGTGCCCATGTGGTGCAGAAAAATCCTCAAAATTTCCATAAGAAGAAATTCAAGCAAGAACTCAAACAAAAGACCACTACTCCTTTTAAGAAGAAGAAGAAGACCAACAAGAAAGGCAATTGCTACACCTGCGGCAAACCTGGGCATTATGCTAAGGATTGCGAGGAGAGCAAATGGAGGCCTAAGAAAAAGTCTGCAAACATGATTGAGGTTGATGAAGAAATATCAAGGTATGGTAATTTATTACCTACAGTTCTTTTAGTTTGTCATTCTCCTGATTGGTGGGTTGACACAGGTGCCAATATTCATGTGTGTGTGCTGACGTTTCCTTATTTTCTTCTTACCAGGTTAGGCAGACTTCCTCCTTATAGATGGGGAATGGAGCTTGTGTTGCTGTTCGTGGTGTTGGTACGATCGATCTGAAGCTTACTTCAAGAAAGACCATGCAACTAAAGAACATGCATCATGTTCCCTCAATAAGGAAGAATTTAATTAGTGGCTCATTGCTATGTCGAGATGGATATAAAGTTGTGTTTGAGTCTAATAAGTGTATACTTTTGAAGTATGGAACCTTTGTGGGTAAAGGCTATGAGAGCGGAAGCTTGTTCCGCTTGTCTTTAACTGATGCTTGTTTTTAATTTTGTGAGCCATGATAATGAGACAAATGTTTGGCATTCACATCTCTGTCATATAAATTTTGGTTGTATGACTCTCTTAGCTGGTATGAATTTAATCATGAAATTTGATATGGTCAAAGGTTCTAAATGCCATGTATGCTTGCAATTGAAGCAACCTCGCAAGCCTCACAAGGATGCTGTGGCGAGGGACTTGGCACCTTTAGAACTAATTCATTCTGATTTATGCGAAATGAATAGCGAGTTGATCAAAGGTGACAAAAGATATTTCATGACGTTCATAGATGACTGTAAAATCAAAAGATGAAGCGTTGCATTATTTTAAGATCTATAAAGTTGAGGTAGAAAACCAACTTGAGAAGAAAATTAAACAGTTGCGATCTGATCACGGGAGTTAATATTTCTCAAATGAGTTTTCTGAGTTTTGCACGGAGTATGGTATTATTCATGCGAGGACACCACCGTACTCACCACAATTCAATGGGATTGCTGAGAGGAAGAACCGCACTCTAACTGAGTTGGTTAACGCCATGTTATAGACAGTAGGACTATCTAAGGAATGGTGGGGTGAGGCAATTTTCTCATGTCCTGAATAGGATGCCCAAAAAGAACAAAGAAATCACACCATTCGAGGAATAGGAGAAGAAGAGATTAAATCTTTCTTATCTGCGAACATGGGATTGTTTGGCAAACATGGATGTGCCAATTAACAAAAAGTGAAAGCTTAAACCAAAAACTGTTGATTGTGTCTTTCTCGGTTATGCTATTCACAGCGTGGGTTATAGATTTTTAATAATAAATTCTAAAGTGCCTGATGTGAATGTTGGTACTATTATGGAATCTAGATATGCTACATTTTTTAGAATGAATTTCCTATGAAAAATACAACTAGCACTTCTAGTCACGATTCTATCACACTTTCACAGTTGCATGAACCGATAGAACACGTTGACATTGAAACCCATGTGGAAAATCATGAGGAGGATAATAATATAGTCACTCAAAAGAGTAAGAGACAAAGGACTGCAAAGTCTTTTGGTGAAGACTATATTATATACTTTATGGATGACACTCTTAAAACCATAGAAGAGGCATATT